TTCATCGTGTTTATTTTTCACCATTCACACAGTACTTGTATTAAATAAACAAAGAACAATCGCTCTGCAAATAAAAGTACTTAGGTGGGGAGAGAAGGAAGAGGCACCGCAGCTCTGGCGCCCCTGGCCCCGTTCCCTCCTCCAACTGCACCCACCCCACCCCCACCCGGCTCTCTCTCCTCCTCTCCTCGGTCCCCCTCTCTCCTTTCTCGCGAGCTAGGAGGTTCGATGGGAGACCGTAACAACAAGTGGGTGGAAAGACATACGTTATTATTTGGTCGTGCATGTCATATTATATGGGTAACATTATACGTAATACATATAGTTCTGATGAGGTGAAAATGGAGTGTGCTAAGTTGGCATGAAAGTACAGGTCACTGCAACTGTATCTTAATAGAGTGTCTCGAATCGCTGTGGACCCTCTGCCAGCGACTCCCCTGGCCCAGTCCATTGCCATAGCAATCCTGACGCTGGTGTGAGTGTACCATAAAAGCGTTAGTTTGAATTTCAAAGAACATGCCTTTGAACTTCTCCCTGCCTGATTAGGCACTTGTGCCCGCGTGTGAATGTGTGTGCCCCAGACTGTTTGGGTGTGGACGTGGGAGGGGGGGGGTGTGAATTTCTGGGAGTTTTTGATCACGTAGGAAAAGTGTGCTGGCAACCCGCAGGGCGGTTTCTCTGTGGTGCTCCTTAGCCATCCCTCCAGCCCTGGAAGGGTGGGCTTCCCTGGCCATGTGTCTATTTTGGTAGATGATGGGTAGTGTGATCTGACAGGTTGGAAGTATCAATAAGTGTCCGGATTGTTTGTTTCTCTTGAATCCAGCTTTCCTTTCCTCTGGTTTAGATAATCGCTAGAGAAACCAGATTATCTCCCCCTCCATAGCCCCAGTCCTTTTTCCCAAACAAACTGGGATAAAAAAACACTTCTGGGGGAACATCTCTCATTCCATTTCATAGAGAAAGAGATGGCAGATAGATTGATTAAATGGTATGTAGGTAGGTAGGTAGGTATCCAGAGTGAACTACTATAGTCTCAAAAAACTTCCACAAAATGGAAGATGTAAACAACAGGAGGTCAATACAAGCATGTCTACAGATAGTTGGGCCTCGCTTTCAAGGACTTTGGGCCTCCTCCTTTCCTGTCCCCAGTGCTGTCCCTCTTGTGTGGCCATCTCCAACTCCCTAAAAGAATAGAATTCTCACCCTCCAGCTATTTCTCAGTGCTTTAGATTTTTGGAAGCTTCTCTTTACCAAAGAAAATCCTGAATGGGGAAAAGATATACATAAAATACAAATAACCATGTGTTTGAAGATTCTCCTAGCCTGGAAAACAAAGGTAGATGATTTAAAATGTTTGTGAGGGCCACAGGGCCACATTTTGCCTAGGAGAGATGAAGTCTTTGATGATCGCCAACTTAGTGTCAATAAGTGGATTTCTTTGAGACATATTCAGATGGGAACGTCTTGCTTGCCAATTGCCATAGAAATCTTAACACACCATGAAGATTGTCCAAGCGCCAAGCCTTCCGTTCTGGACTAAATTACTTTGAAGTGGCGCAGGACGAGCAGTGGTCAATTTTAACTCTATAGACTGGACAGGGCTCTGGGAGCGGAGATTGTGCGTTTTAAAGCAGAAAATAAGAAGGGGAAACTTGTTTTATACACTCTATACAAGGTTCTGCTCATTGTCAGATATCTTTTATCTTTTATATTTCCCATGAATGATTCATGTCTTGGTGGCTTTGTGTCCTCCCTTTCACGAGAAACTTCATTAGAGAGCTATAAGTTTTCCCATTGATTGGGGCCCTTCGCTATGAGTGTTTTTCTCCTTCGTGTGTTGGTTATTGTCATCTGACTTAAAACAACTCTTTGCTTCGTGTTTCACCTTTACTGCATTTAACAAACTTGACTTTTAAAAACCACCATAAGCGTATGGAGAACTGCTTATTCATGTAACTAACAATTTAAAAAAACCCAACTATTTGCCTTTTATCAGCTTTGTTTCAGCTAACATAAAAACAAGCAAATACTCAGCCCTGTTCAAGTGGATGGCCAATCACATTAGTTTAAGCCACTTGAACATTTTGTTGCCATGATTCCAATTTCCAACACCTGCCTTAAAATGCTGAGCTAGGTTCCATAGATCAGCTCAACTTGCAAATAAACCACAAACTGGATGCTAAATCCCCCCCACCCCCATTACCTGACTTGAGTGTTGTTTAATGCCCTATTCATTCAGCATGTATTTAACTCAGTACCCATCTCAGCCCCTGATTTTACCCTTCTTTGTGCTGGGAAGCCTCTCACTGTCCCTCCATCTTCTCCTCATTCTTGTTAGCCTTTTACTTTAGAGGCTGGGCACCAAAGAAATGCGAAAACTCACTTTTCAGATTTTCACTGATTAGGATCTCCAAGGATATTATTAACAAATGAATGCAGTAACCCCTAAGATTTATGTTAGTGTTACATGCAACTTACAGGGCTTAGTCTTCCTAAATATTGTATTTTCTAGATCAGACTGTAAGTTAAACCAAGCTGTAAAAATATTTTATGGCTGGGGAGAGGCTAAGGAATCAAGAGCTCAAGAGAACCCAGTGTTCACCAGTCAGCAACCTGTCCTATTTGTAAGAGAATGGCAGAAATATGCCACTAGGTAAAAATAAGCAATACATAGGAAGAATACCTTTATTAAATTTTTTACTTCATAATCATTCTTGCTTTCTTTCTATTGGAGGTACACATTTTAAGTTTTTATTTTAGGTGTATCAGGAACCAATAAATCTGTGGCAGAGTAAACCTATGCATGGCAAAATACATAAAATACATATTCCTTTGTTTCAGAATAAATAAACCTGTAGCATAATAAAGAATAGTGCAAACTACCATTGAAAAAGTTGTATAAATAAAACAACTCATTATAAATCAGGAATATTTTGTTCTAATAAGTTTACGATACATAAATTATCCCCCCGAAGTTCATACCTTATTTTGTCTATTTGAAAGAGCTTTGAAAGTGAATAATACGAAAATCAAATAAACTTTAAAAATGTAGAATTACTTTATATTCAAGTTTTATGGTCTTTTTCTTTATAAAGGAGGGTCTGCATGTTTCATATTCACTGTAACAATATGAAGACAACATTGAAAGGCTTTCAAAGTGACAGCACCATGCACTGTACTAGTAATATATCTATAAACTATATATAATCTCGTCAACACAATGCAAAAAAGACATGCAGGAAGAGTCCTGGTTTTCACATTACGTTGTTCATTCAAGTAAGCTTAAAAATATATTCCCCCATTTTCTTTCCTTTTTTTTTTTTTTTTTAAATAAACTGTGGATCATAAACGACAATCTTTCACCAAACTGTATAATATAATTCTTTGGTGTGCTTTGAACTCTTCCAGGGAAAACAAAGGATGGTGTCTGAAAATAAATTAATTCAACTGTACAAATAATAGTGTTCACATACAAGTTATTAACAATGACAAGACGGCATCAACCACTCACAGCACACAAAACAAATTTCTACAAACCCTGGGGAGGGGGTGTCTTCAGGGCCTCTGAGGATAAATTAGTGCTCTTTAGTATATTTGTATGATGTTTATGATGGACTGTATTTTGCACGAGATGTGCTGCATGAAGTGAAAATAAATTGACTAAGAGTTATTGTCCTAGGTCCTTGACCTTTTTTATCCTAGCTTGACAGCCTGGCAAAGGTCACACATTCATCAGTGTTTGGTGGTAACTATAAACCTTTTAAAAATTTTAATATGTATAGCAATTCCCTCCCCTCTTTTAATGTAAATCATACACTTCACACACTGTCATTTTCAAAATGGGATAGAGTTCCGTGTGCTCAGTGCTCAGGTGGGAAAAAAACGCAGGAAAATGCAGTTGCGGGCATTGAAAAATAAAGACTTTTGAAAAGGCTGATACAACAGTATAAAAGAGGGGTTGGCCTGTTTTAAAAACAACAGCTTTCCCAAAAAAAGTAGGCATGCTGCCAACATCACACCTCCTTAGACTTGCCTGTTAATTTTGGCATCCCAGAAAACTTCTCTAAAACTCATCTTTTTAGGACACGTAGAGTTTGGACACAGTAAAGAGGCAGCATCTGAGATTTCAGATAAAAAAAAAAAACTATAGAGAAAAAAGAAAGCACTTGAATGTCTTCTATTTTATAAAATATTACACCTTCACAGTTGGCTGTGTTGCAGCAGCGTGTTCTGTCCCCACTTTGGCTGGAGCGCTCACAGCAGCGCAGAACGTGGAGACATGTTAAGGATGCTGCATCTTTTTTTCTTTTTAAATCCTACAGGCAGGGTACTGAAGAAACAATCCCGTATAAAAATACTGTGTTAAGATGAGATCAGTAATAAAAGAGTGGAAAGTTAAAATCACAACTATTAGAACTGAAAGGATTGTGGGGTTTTGTTTTGTTTTGTACAAATATTTTTGGACACAGGTACAGTCTGAGATCTGTTGGCAATGCAGCAAGAGTGTGGTTTACAATCAAGAGGCCTTTTCAGAATTAGGGCCCAAGGAGGAAGTGAGGAGGCTCCAGAGAAGCCCTCCTTATGGTGTTAAAGGCAATCTCGAGGCACTCCAGGAAACGCAGAGGGCCTTGGTGCTGTGTTGAGTTCCAACTTAATGCTTTTTCTCGCTCCTTTCCAAATATACATATACTGAGTCGGCAGTGTGTATCTCCATTAACCCTTGGTACATGTCGCTCCTAGCCCTGTTTTCTGCAACCTACAAGTCCAGCTTGGTCGGGTTTTTTTGTTTGTTTGTTTTCTAAGGAAAAAAAAAAAGCCCAAATATCTTAATTAAATTAATTAAATGTACAAACACCATAGGGTTTCATACTGAATAAATAGGGCTAATTAGACCCGGTGGCAAGTCTGAGTCAAGGGTTTGTCTCAGGCTCGGCATTGTCTCAGGTTAGGATATGGTCCAAGGACTCCCACTTATTACTTATTATTATTACTGGTAAATTCTAATGTATCGTCCGCGGAACTTCGGAGTTCCCGTACATCTCTTCGTCTTCAGACTCGGAAGTGGTTCCGTTGCTGGAAGGTGTGTGAAGGTGGCTGGGGGCTCCACTGGCCTGGCAAACGTACCACTCATTGAGGTTGGTCACCTGAGGAGACAGAGTGCTAGAGCGACTCCTGGTTGGGTCCAGCATGGGGGACAAGGGGGCACCCACTGCAGTCCCCCCTGATGAGTAACCAAGGGCCCCTGGAGAAGGCGGTGGGGACTTGCAGTGAATCTTCATGTGCTTCCTCAGAGAGCTGGGGTGTGTGTACGACTTGTCACAGCCTCGAATCTTGCAGTAGTAAGGCTTGTCGCTCGTGTGGACATGGGAATGTTTCTTCCGATCGCTGCTGTTGGCAAATTTCCTGTCACAGCCATCAAACTCACACTTGAAAGGCTTTTCCCCTGCAACAGAACACAGGGCAGGTCAACAATTGCTTTTCAGAGACCCCTCACCTGAGAGAGAGAAATCCTGGAACAGAAATGAGGATGCATTTTCCCATTCTCTGGAAGACCAACCCCAGCCTGGTTTCTATTCCGAATTCCTATGTTCCAGAAGGCAACAGGGAAGGGCTACTGGGCTTGTGAGCGGCTAGATGTCAGTCCCCGCAGTACCAGAGGGCTCAGGGAGAGGATGGCTATACAGCACAGTCCAGGATGGAATACGGAAACCCAACCAGGACCCAGGTACCCGCGTCCTCACTGCCCTCAAGGTCTGTACCTGCAAAGATACAAGCAGATCCCCTGTCAAGATAAATGCTAATAAAATGATTCTTCCAAAGCCACAGCTGGGGGAAGGATATAAGAAAAAGAGCAAAGGAAGCACACTACACTGAATTAAAAGTGAAGTGGGGGAGGTGCCATGAAATTACAATATCAGCATTTTGTTTCAGAGCATCCCCAGATTCCACCGATGGGAAAGGAAATGAGGCAAAAATCCCGTTTTCTTCAGAAACAAAGGCACCTGTGAAACACACAGTCCATCACGAGATTGCCTACAAGCCCGGATGGGCAGGGACTCTGCTTTCTCCCAGCTTTCCTCACAACTTGCAGGGCAAGCAGGAGTCTTTAGAACAGAACCTTAGCAAACGTGAGTAAGAACCACAAGCCTCAACCAGAACCTAGAATGTACCTGATGCCCTATGGAAACGTACCTTGACAGCCTTCTACCTCACTTAACAGTCAGAAAAGGGACTGTTTACCACAGTCTTTGGCCCTTGGTCCCTTTAAGCTGCTCTGACCACCCCAGGAACACAATGCCTTTAAACACAAGGCCCCTAGTTCAGGGAGTGGACATGTTTAATAAGACGACTAGATATTCAGCCACAACACCTCGGTATTAAAAAGCAAAAAAGGAAGACAGCAGGTAGCGGTATGAATTTTCCTTCTCACCTAAGTACCTATGAACTTGATGTATTTGAGTCATAACAGAACAAATCATCCCATACATACTATTGTTTAGTAATATCGCCCTCATATTTAAATGATTTTTTAAAATTAAGCTGAGTTTCTCTACTGAATTTCAGCAGCTACTCTGGTGGCTCACGAGGTAAGGCTTCTTCCTTGGTTTTGGATGATATGTTTAAAAACAACATTTAAGACAGGTTAGTGTACATAAATTTTTGTGGTCAGTTTTCTTATACAACTATTTCAGTGTAGTTTTTTTTTCTTTTTAATCTCACCAATGATAAAGGCTTGGATGCCTGAGTGTGTTAACACGTCTGTAAGTATTCAGATGCCTGGAATATAACGTCACCTACCTCTAAATCCCGTTTAAAAATGAAATTAGATATTATTTAAATACACATCCTGCACTGATCTATCCAAGGGAAAATATGACATAACACAGTAACAATAGTTAATCACTTTTCATCAAAATATCAGTTATCTGTCCTGATTTCTGTGTTTTACTTTTAAGTTGGAGATAATACTAATTTACTATAACATTGCTTAAAAATTTATACTGGGACTTTCTTCCAGAGGGAGGCTTGAGTGGTTTTATTCACCCTATGCAAATGTGCAGTGTCCTTTTTAGCTCTGTTTCCGTACTCGCTAAGGATCCCAAGGATCCCGGATTGTGAAGAATACACAGCTTTAGCACTGCTGGCCCCATCACTGCCCACGATAAAGAGAAGCAATTACGCCCAGAGAAGGGAGATACATGGAAGGGGGGTGGGGGGTGGGGTAGAAAAGTAGGAATAAAAGAAGATGGAAGAAGAAAGTGTAAGGAAAAAATAAAGAACTGCTTTGTTTTATTCAGGGGGCCTGAGCAGAACAGGGAGCAGCCTCTAGCCAACTGGGAAGGGTGAGAAGCCCCAGTGTTTACGTTTCAGAGTCTGACAGAGAAGTCCATCAGAACCTAACTACTTGCAGAATCCGAGAGAGTAAAGGTTACGCGAGCTGCTCTCTGCTCTACCGGTTCCCTGAGAGAGAACTGGCCCAAAGGAAGGTGATAAACCGAATGGGGGTGGGGATGGGGGGAACGTGGGTCAGGAAACAGGCCTTCGGGAGTAGCCGGGGGATTATTCCCTTTGATCAATCCGTTCCGGGATCCGAATAACCCCCAAAAGGGAGAGGGCCGTGGTGGGGGGGGGGGGGTCCGGGATGGTCCCGTTCCGCACACAATGCTCAATGGCTAAGCGGTCTGAGGGCCGCCCAAATCCGCTGGCACGGGTCTGGGGACGAACGTGAGGCGCCGGGATCCCTCCCTGAGGGCTCCGGCGAGAGCCACTCGGCCACCCGCAGCCTGGCGGGAAACGCAACCCAGAGCACGCCGCGGCACCGGAAAACACCACCGCCCGGGGGCCCGCAGCGCCCGGGATCTCCGCCCCCGCTGTGCGCGCGCGCGCCCCTCGCCCCCGGGGCTGCGGTCGGAGGGACCCCGGACCCCGGGCAGCTTCCGCGCCAGCAAGCTCCAGTTCCTGGCTCCACCGCGGAAGACACCGCCCTCAGGTCCGGCGACCGACCCACTCTCTCTCGGAGGCCTGCAAAGGCGGGAAAGGCCCAAAGCCACAGGTTCTGCTTTTAGGGTGCCCATAGGGGACAGGGTTGGGGGCGGCTTCACCTCCCGCGACCCCCCCCCCTTTATGGTCCCAGGCCCCTGTCCCGGCGGCAAGGGCAAACAGCTGGCTAAGCGGGCCAGGGAGTTTTTCCGAAAGCCTCGTGGGAAGTTTCCTTTTGGAAAATTCCTTAGGGCGGACCGATCTCCATTAGAAAAGCAGGGGGCCGGCCAACGGGGTTCCCGGGAAGACGTGCTCCCGGCCCAGCATCGGTGCACGGGGGTCCTATCAGGCGGTGGCCGAGAGGAGCCAGGCCCCGGGCCCAGCCCCAGGCCACCCCGACCCGGCTTGCACGCAGAACCCCCCGCTGCCCCGGGCTCCGGCTGTCGGCCAGGCGTTGGGCCCACGCGCGGCGGCTGCCTCCTTGCCGCCCAGCGCCGATAAATCAGCCAAGTAATTACTGAATGTAAACTCCAGTTACTTAAGTGTCCTCCGAGGGGTAATATTGTCTATCCCTATAAATCCCAACTGCTCGCGATCAGCGCTTCCGCCCAACGCGCTAGTACGTTCGATGGAAGCCCACGACCCACAGGAAACACCCCACCGCCCCACGCCGCAGCCGCCTTGGAGAGGGGGGTGGGGGGTGGGAGGGGTCCCCATAGCGCCGGGGGCTTCCCCCAAGTTCTTAGGGGTGGCAAGTACCAACGACACAGGAGACTGCAGCTCACCCTGCCCTCCTCCAGCTAGAACCTTCTTTGAAAGGACAGAGCCAAGTTCTCTAGCACCTTGCAGGGTATGTGTGATAAAATGTGTGTGACAGCTGCATGTGGGAGTATGGATGTGTATGAAGTTGTGTAAATGAGGAAGTGTGCATATGTGAGGGTGTATGTGGAAGAGAAGTGTGTCGGGGCATATGGGTGTTCCGGCTATCAGGAAGTGGGGGGGGTAGTCTGGGAGAAATGGGTGTGTGAAGTTATGTGCGGTGTACACGTGAAGATGTAGGTGTTGAACGCGTGCGTGAGTGTGTCTGTCGGGCGGGGGTCTTCAGGGGCCCAAGGGCGCATTTCTTTGGCCTGTTTTCACCACGCCCTGGAGGGACAGGACCCCCTCCCCTCCTGGAAGGGCCACATCGAGCTGGGCCTGGTGGCCTCAATACCCGAGTCAACCCCACGTGCCCCCTCGCAGACCCGCTCTCCGGAGCGCGGTGCGGACTCTGCCACCAGGGGGGGAGGGAAGAGCCCCCAGGGCGGCTCCGGCCCCCCATCCCCATCGCCCTCCCCAGGTTCCCGGGGCCGGGCGAATGGGGGCTGCCGACCGTCCTGGGCTCCTTCCTGCTCCGACTGCTGCTGCTTCTGTTCCCGGGCGGCGGCGGCGGCGGCTGGAGCGCGTTGCCGGTCCCGGCGGAGGGGCTGCGAGCGCGCTGGAGACTCCACCGTGTGGGAACCCAGCGCGAGGCCTGTGTGTGCTATCGAATTACTTATTCATAGAAAAAAAGGGGGGGAGAGAAAAAAGAGAAGTCACATGTCCGGGTTATACGTATGCGAAGAGAAGCAGCAGAAGGAGGTAAAAATTAAGGCGAGCAGGAGGAGGAAGAGCAGCAGCGGCGGAAGCGGCGGCGGCGCGGGAGGCGGCGGCGGCGGCGCGGCCGGGGACGGACACCCACCTGTATGAGTGCGCTTGTGGATCTTGAGGTTCTCGGAGCGCGCGAAGACCTTGCCGCAGCCCGGGAACGGGCAGGGAAAGGGCTTCTCGCCCGTGTGCACGCGGATGTGGTTGATGAGCTTGTATTTGGCCTTGAAGGGCTTGCCCTCGCGCGGACAGTCCTCCCAGAAGCAGACGTGGTTGCTTTGCTCGGGGCCGCCCACGTGCTCCACCGTGACGTGGTTCACCAGCTCGTGCATGGTGCCGAAAGTTTTGGAGCAGGGCTTGGCGCCGCCGGCCGGGGGCGGTGGCGGTGGCGGCGGCGGCCCGGCCAGCTCCTCGGGGTCGATCCACTTGCAGATGAGCTCCTGCTTGATTGGCTGCCGCATGTAGCGCAGGAAGGCCCCGGCCGCCCCTGGGAGGTGGGGGTGGTGCTGGTGCGGGTGCTGCGCGGGCGCCGGCGGCGGCGGCGGCGGCGGCGGCGGCGGCGGCGCCGGGGGCGGCGCGTGGTGCTGCAGGTGGGGCCCCGTCCCGGCTGCCGCGGCAGCCGCCGCCGCCGCCAGGTTCAGGTTTAAGTTCACGGCTCCGTAGCCGTGCAGGGCGGCGGCTGCCGCGGCCGCCACTGCCCCGTAGTGCGCATCCCCCGAGCGCGGCGCGAAGGGCGGCTCGGTACGGCCGTACAGCTCGGCCGCCGCGGCCGCCGCGGCCGCCGCCAGCCCCAAGCGCATCTGGCCGTTGAGCGGGTGCGGGTGGCCGCCGGGGGCTCCCGGAGCGTCGTGCAGCGCGGGGAAGAGCGCCGGGCCCCCGCCGCCGCTACCGTCCGGGCCCGCGTAGGTGCCGCTGGCCGAGATGAACATGCCGGCCGAGTGAGGAGGCGGGGCCGAGTGCTGGGGGGAGCCCGTGCCAGACCGCTGCTCCCCTCCAAGAGGGACCCCGTGCATGGCCGCCGCGGGGGCCGTGGCGGAAAGGTCCCTCCGGAGGACGAAGTCCCTGCTGTGGCCTTTGCCGCTGCTGCCGCCGCCGCCACTGTCGGTGGTGGTGTAGCCCGAGAGGGCAGGAGGAGGGGGAGGGGGAGGAGGGGGTGAAGGGGAGGGAGGAAGAGGAGGGGCTGGGGGCGGGGGCGCGGAAGGCTGCGCGCGGCCGCTGTCCCCGCCACCGGGGTAGGTGCTGGCGCCGGGGTGTGAGACCGAGGCTGCAGCGCGGGCGGCGGGCTGTGCCGGGAGCGCCCGGCAGGGAGGTCTGAGGCCGAGCGCCCTGGTCTGGGCCATGTGCTCGGGTCCGAGCGGAGTGATGGCCACGCCAGGGTCAGCGCTCAGGTCCCGAGGGTGGAGGTGCGTGGCTGTGGCGCGGAGTTGGGAGTGGGCGGGCGGGCTGGCCAGCGCCGGGAAGCCTGTCATATTCTGAAGCGGCCTGGCCTGAGCCGTTGCCAAATCCGCTAATCTCAGCGCTGGCGGGTTCCTCTTGCTCAAAGGGGGCTCCATCAAAACTACACAATCAGACCCATAGGCCCTCACTGGGGGGACTTTTTTTACCCTCTGCCCACCTTCAAAAACATGTATATATTAGGCTCTCTTTAACTTCTTTGTCCTGGCCTCCTAACTCTGCGTATTCCTGTTCCCACTGTCCTCCAGCGATTGGCAGAACGAACACCACATTTGAGCTGCACAGTGGGACCGAGATTTTGGAAATGGCATGGGTGGGATTGGAGGGAACAGCGTGATTGACAGCAGCCACGGCTGCCGGATTGGCTCCCATTCAGGCCCACTGCCCAGCGGGGATCCGCCCCCGTGCTCGCAGCATCCTTCGCTTTCGCTTCGCGCCCCCTCCTCCCCTGGAGCCCCACGTCCCCGCCTTCCAGGGAATGCCCAAGTTGCACTTGCAGAAAGTTTGCGCTGGGCCTGCGCGCGCAGCGCCCCGCGTTCCCATGACGCGCCTTTCGGAGAGCGTGCGCCGGCACGCGGCCGCAGGGCGCGGGGTGGGTGAGGGCTGAGGACCACCCCCTTACCCCGGCACAAAAGGGGGTAGGGGGATAGCCCCCAGCTTCAAAAACCCCCGCCTCACCGCATGCAGCGTCTCCCCCAGCATCCAAACACTTTCTACCTCCTCCGTTGGAAGAGCCCTGGGCTGCTCTCCGGAAGAGGAAGGTGAACAGTGTGACGGTCGTCGTACTCGTAGAGGTGATGCTAGAAACTTCTTATTTGGGAAGGACATCCAGTCCGCCGAGCGCTCAAGTAGGGCGCCGAATGAGGAAAGATATTAAAGTCCTATTGGTTGCAAAACAGTTTTAGTGATTTGGCTCCGCAAGACACCAGGTGAATTCAAAATAAATCTTTCCCGAAAAGGAACCGTTTACCTCGACTTTTTAGCTCATGCAGTCCTTTTCAACGTGGTTCAAAGGAGTTGGCTCGAAGTGTAATCTCGCTGCTCGTCAGTTCTAGATATGCCAGTTCCAATTAGATGTACGGGGTGGGGGTGGGGCAACATCGGGCAGCGATTCTAACTTTTGCCTCTCCGAAATACGGTGGCAGGGCAGGCCACACAGCAGCTCTCCAGAGGGAAGCGGCTAAATAAACAACATCCTTCACGCAGAATTTCTCTTTCCGGCCCGGAAAGCACTCCTTATGTGCGCCTCAGTTTCTTTGAAAGGATCATAAATTAAAATTGATCCAAAAAATGAATATTTTAAAATTAACCAATATCTTTGCTATGTATTGCTATTAGAATAATCTTATACCTTGTCATTGTTTTTCTAATACACTGATCTAGGAGGCGAGATGTCTTATTTGAAAACTATGTAAGCTGCCCTTGAAAAAAAAAAAAAAAGCGAGCCCCATCCTTTGCCAGGGATTTATTATCAAATCACTTGACAAAGAGAGGTTCCTGCATCACTTTGGGGGGAGTAGAAAAATGTGGCATCCCCAAACTTCAGGCTTATTGCTTCCCCAAAGTGTCACTTCACTCTTAAAAAGAAAGCATCTTAAAATTTTGTGATGTTCCAAGATGCTCAAAAATTAAAGTCAGGGTTTTTAATTTTTATTTTGTTGTCCTGCATAAAATTATTTGTAGAAAAGAGATAATGACTAAAATGCAAATATTTTCCTGGGTGGATGGGGGGGGAGTATAAAAAAACAAGTTACCAGCTTAATTCATTTGCAGTCCAAGTAAAATTAGACTGCATAAAGACATCATCTTAATGGCCCCGGGAGATGGCCCGGGAAAGTGGTAAGAAATATTTTCAAAAGAACTGATTCGATAGCCCCATTTACGTCGGTGTGAGCAATGTTTAACAGGCAACTTCCCTGTAAGCCTTAGGAATGTCATCCCTCTTACAAAACTGACAAGCAAACAAAGAAAATGCTACAATCAAATTTGAAATAGGTCCTTTCTTTCAGCTTCAATGAAGTTCAAATATGGGGGAATAAGAAAGGCATGGGTGCAAACACAATGAAAAAATTAATAAACAGCAGCGACAAAAACCTGCATCTGTATTTGGAGAGGATGAGTCCTTTCTCAATTTTCCTTTCAAAGACCTAAAACGTCTCAAGCCAAGCAGGCAGAAGTGGAGCGAGGACGGCCATCTCTATGGATGGCTAGTGGGGAAAGCATTCTATTTGGACTTGTCACCAGTGTCTTCATCCTTTCTCAGACCATTTCAAATGAGTTTATTTGAATTTCTTGGCAATGAGCATCACCACTTCCATAATGGCAGTTTTGCGTCCAGTCCTACTGGTTATGAGTAAAAACAAACCAAAAAATGAACGAATAAAGAAAGAAGAAAATAAACACAACCTACCTTTTAATATGGACTACTGAGCATGTTTATTGTGCAATAAAATGAGTACCTCCGCCCCCTTCAAAATAGCTTTTCCTCAAAATTATAACTGCTTTGTTTTATTGAATTGCTGAAATTTAATGGTTTAATGGGTGAAGGCATGAAGGAAAGGCTGTAAAAATGTGAATAATGGTTCAGCAGCGCCGTGCGGAATCTGGAACCCGCCTCCTTGTACAACTCTTGTTAAACACAGCATGATATGTATCTGTCATCGATTTAATATGTCTTAATTCAAATATAGCTCCCTGATCAATTTCTTTTTATGGAAGCCTTAAAAACGAAAAGACTTTCTTAGGAAATAATGGAGATTTGGGTGATGATTGGAAAGAAGGATATTTACAAAGTGCGCTTAATGAATATTTGCGAATTTATGGCCAAACCCAGACCCTAAAAAGATAATTGACTCAGGTAAATCGACTTGAGATGCGAATTCTTAAAAGAAAGAACTGGGAGCAAAATTTCAATCAACACCAATAAGGCGCCAATAAACTGCCTGCCAATTAAACCTGAGAATAGGCCTAGCTAGATGGTCACCAGGAAGGCTCACAGTGGATTTCCCGGATTGCCTTTCTTTATAAAAGAGCTTTTTATTTTGTAGAGGCGCTTTTTGTTATTGTGATGACCCGCCTGACCCCAGGTGCGCTGTTTCTTTTTCAAGCCGATTTGGAGCCAAATCAACCCCCCTTAACCTTCCGAGTTTCTAAGGACCCAATAACTGTGTAACACTTCCTGAATAAACACCAGCAATTTCCAGGACGTTGAAGAAAATAATAATAATGGTGGTGTTGTGTTTTGTTTTGTTTTAAACAGGGGGGTGTCGAGGTCGTTATGCCAGTTTCTGCCTGTGGATTCAGCCCCATATTTCTGCGTTGGTGATGGCTGTCAGGGCCGACTCTAAAAGTCATGTCCCTGTCTGCGCTTTTGCAGTGGAGACCCTTGTATGAAGGCAGCCGCAACGTGGCCATCTATGGAAATGCCCTTTCTGGGGTCAACAGGTGCTCCTGGGGGAGCATCGATTTTCAGACTTCCCTGTTGCACCCCGAATCCCAACCTTCTCCCAGAGCCAAACAAAGGCATGATGAGGCTGAGAAGGTACAGTAAATGCCGAGCTGGCCCGAACCCGGCGGCCCCGCCGCGCTCAGCTGCCTTGAGGCAATAGGACCGGGTCTCAGAGATGCCCAGGCTGGCGCTGATGGCTCCCCGCTGCGCAAAAGGGGGCGGGGGGCGGTGACTAAGGCTCCCCGGCGCCCTCCGTTCCCCACTGAGCACAGCCAAGTTTCCTTGGGATGGGTGTGGGCGATTAATAAACTTCAGGGAAGTGAATTGGACATTTCCTGGCTTTTGAGCCTTTGTTTGTTTCTGCAGGCGGGGGGAGGGGGGAAGCTGGGGACGGTGAGGTGGACAAGAAAGGATCTGGGGGACCCACGGAGCTGCCTTTCATTGCCCTGTGCAACTGCCTTACCGCTCGCCGGCCCGCGTGGTTTCAGCGAGGGAGTCCTCTTTGCTGAAGGACAGGGTGCCCGCTGGGTTTGGAGCGTCTAGTGCCATTCGGGCCGGGCCAGAGCCAGGTTCAAGGGCGAACAGGGTGCCCCGAGTTACTCTGGGGATCAAAGGACTTTTGGAGCCCAGCCCAAGGGCGCCAGCGTGTGCTCAGCCGGGAGGAGGGGGGTTACTAGCAGACACTGGAGAAAGTGGAGGAGGCGCACACTCAGACCTCTTTAAACCCCGGGCAAGGTGGGCCAGCGGACCCACAAAGGTTCCTTTTCATTGAGCTTTGTCATGCCGGAAGTGATGGGGACTTTGGGTTCGAGGCTTTTCTCAAATCAGTCTCCCTAGGTGTATGGCGTGAGGTACTCCTCCACCTCTCTCGGCGCCAAGCCTGGCTTGCACTCGCCAGGTACCAGGTCCCCACGCTTCCGCCTTTACCACTCCCCATCTAACGCGGTGTGAGTCACCAGCCAAACCTGGGGACTAGGGTGCTGCCAAGCGCTGGGCAATTCTCAGCACTCTGAGCGTCGCTCCCACGGTTGCTTCTGCTTCCTGCCCTTCTGAGCCCACCCTGACTCCTCAGGCTTCGCGGATACCTGGCGGACTAAGAGTAACCTAAAAATGTGCTTCTTGCTGAAGTCTATCATTCCTGTCTCATGTACATGGGCTTAATGAGAATTGTGTTTTAAGGGGACAAGACTGGGACTATGTAGGGGTGACCGAGATGTTGGATTTGGGGTTTGTTTATTTTGGATAGTCAAGAAGGGGACCCATCCCATGTCTACCTGACCTTGGTGCTTAAAAGCCCTTGAAAAATTATGGCTCTCTTTACTTCCCCATTACCAAAAAATAAGTTGAGTAAAATTGGCCTGTCATCAAATATTCTCATTTGGTTATCAATCATTTTTACCCTCAGAGATGGGGGTTGTAGGAGAATGGCCTTTGACCCATATATGACCATTAGGATTGGTAATTTCTTGGGAAATGCCTAATTGTTGTGCTTTAAAATGTGCTTAGAAGGTCAAAGCTGGAACCACGAAACTCCCTTATGTGTTCACGGTTCATATAACCACCCAATATTTATGTCGGATCCCAGATGTGCTTCTCCTTCCCCTTTATTCTTTATCTTTTAGGATGTTTTTGGATGAGAGGTAAAGGAGAAGCAAAGATTGTGTG